AGACCAATTTCTGTTCATAACCATTTTCCTGTGGTCGCTGAATTATCTAGTTCATTGTTTCCCCCAAAGAGATAGTTACTCGGATAAAACTTTTTGAAAAGGGGCTATCAGCTAATGGGCCAACCAAAGCATTCCTTCTTCTATATTAGAGCAGGAATCAGTGGGCATTTCCATGTTATAATTTTGGGTCCATCTTTGGATGTCTTTTTCAGCCCACCATCTCAATAAACTTTATACAACTTTGATAATGACCCAAGCTGCAGATATAAATGCACAGTCTCTGTCTTGTCACCCCAAACTATTAAATTCCCTTTCATCACAATGAATATTTCTTTGAACATTGTCCCTCCACCATTAATTATTTCCATACATAATCCATGTTTCCCTGCTTCTGTAAATCACAGAATTCACATGGCTCTTGTAAAGGGTAGCACACTTCCTCAAGGGTCGCACTCTGCCCCTCACCTTTAGTGTCCTGCTGCGATTTGTGTCTAGTCGAGGTGGCAGCTGCTGCAGGAGAGCTCACTGCCGTTATCGTCCTTGTGTGTTTCCTCTTGCACATTTTCCCAGTCCATGAACAATTCTGAATTATTCCAATTAGGTTATAGCCATGTAGGTTATAACTCTACCATGAACCTTCCCAGTTTTCTCACATCTTTGGCTTGGAACCATTGAGAAAATAAATCTTCTCATGTCCTGAATATTTTCAAGCTGAATCTGGTGTCTTGGATATAAATCAAGGAAAACATCCATGTCTGCTGTTTCAGACCACTCAGAAATTTTTCAGAACATCTATGTCACCAGAAACATGGAAACTGCAAACTAAAAACACATTGGATTGCCACAGCGATCCTCACTCCTCTGTTTAGTGATGCTGTAGCCCAATATTTAGAGATTGTCTTGAATGGACTCTGGAATAGAATTTGGTGTTTGTTTTCTCTTAATGATTGTCTTTTATTTTCCTAGCCATCTTCCTCAATAACTGTCTGATGGCTGACGCCCTAAGCACACCTGCTACTGCTCAGTCTTAACAGAGGCTTTCCATGATCCTTAATGAACAGAGGCAAGTAAACAAAACTATGCTGACATTATTTGAAAACAGAGGAATGTCTCTTACTTTCAAAAACAAGAGGAAGACTGACAAAGATTCTTTTAAAATTATCCCATTATTAAATATTGGGAGATCATGTAGTTAATGACATTATATTAACTTGTACAACTTCACAATGCAGCATAGCACACTCCAGTTTGTGCTCAACACTCACAGGATGGCATCCTTGTATTGGAACTCCTTTGCCATCGTATCCTCACTCATGCTTTTTCCCCTACGGTGACCGCCATGGAAAAAGTCTGCAGGTAGGAGATCTTCAAGGTGAATGAGGAGGTGAACGGCCCAATCTCTGCCCATCGTGATGGGTTCATTACCCACTGTCCTTCACAAACATCCCGAATGGTCCTTTGTAGCGCAGCCGTCCAGTTTCCTGTTGGATATTGACATCATGCAGAGTCACCAGTAAGCCAGGCCACGACTTTGCTTCCTCTGTCAGCAGGTCATAGGGAGCCTTCCATGCGCCCACAAGTCTAGGCTGAAAGAGGGATTGGTTGTCTGGCAGGAGGGCCAGCTCTTATCTCACGGCTCTGATCCTCCGAGATCCCGTCATGTGTGAACCATTCCACCTTCATGTGGTCTCCTGTGTGTGGCCTCTTTAGGCTCCGTGAGTGACCTCTCACCCAGGTCACAGTGGACAGCTGGTTGCCTGGTAACAGTGGCCCATGGTTAAGCACTACTTTTCTGAAACCCAGAGAGCCCTTTGTGGATAAGTCACAGGCCATCCTCAGCATGAGGACAGCCCCTTACCCTCACTATCTGCCCCTCAAGGCTAGGAATGCTTAGGCCTAAGGAGGGGATGCAAGCCCCAAGTGCTGCCCACATGGACCTCAGCCAGAGACTGGAAATCTGGCCCCTCCAGTCCACTAGGGAGCCGGGGTCCCTATGGGGCTTGTCCTCTAGGGTAGCTTCTTCACGTTCTCGAATGTTCTAAGAGAGGCCCCAGGGCCAAGGGTGCTGGGGCCCTGTGCCTGGCTAGGACTTTCGGAGAGAAAGGCCAGGGAGTGATATCAGGGCAGAGCCTCACTGAGAGAGAGGCCAGGGCCTAGGGCTTGCTCTCCCTGAGCAAGGCGCAGCCCTTTGGTGATGGGCCCCGCTATGTGGGCCAGGCGGGCTCTCTGTGCGGGAGCTTTGGCTCCGAGGTGCTGATCCTAGGCCGAACTCTGAGGCTAGCATCGTCTTTCACCGTGTCACGCTGACATTGACAAGTCACAGGCATTGTTCTTTTTCTTCTTTGAATGCTAATTGTCTCTGTATTTCCTTTCAGTTTCACCATAATCTTTGCCTCTAGGTACATATCAACACAGCAGATTTCTTTTTAAAACCTAGTATTGAAGATTGAATATCTTTCCCCATTGTAACCTTACATCACTCTCCCAAGGACAAATATGAAAACTCAAGGTATCTGAGGCCCAGACACACCTCCATGACTAGCCGGCTGCCTCGGAGCTGGGGACTCCATGCTTCCTGCCATCAGCAGATCCAGCCCCAGAAACAGACAAGTTTACAATCATCTCTGAAAACTGCCATGAATGGGTGTCCTGTTCTAATCTGGGTCACCCAGGAAGGATGGGGGTAAGAGGGACATTTTGCTCCAGAAACAGAATGTCCAAAAAAGCCCAGTCCATTATTTTCCCTAGAAACGGCTGGAGGAGAGTAAAATCCCAACATGAGCCTCGAAGGCCTCTGTGCCCAGGGGATGGCGTTGCCGGCTGAGGAGGGGCAGCAGGGGACATGCGCAGTTTCTCCACAGGCCGCAGCGGGTAGTTGGGCAGGAGCCTGGCGGGCCCTGGGTTCTCTAAGAGGTTCTTCTAGAAACAGACCCCTCAGATGCTTCCTCTCAATTCAGGTAAGAAGTTACTGTTAAGGCACTTGGGGAGTTTCCCTTCCAGCTTCAGAAAGGAAGCGCAGATATGTGAGTCATCAGTGCAGCCCCCCCCCCTCCAGGCCTTAGTGGGCGACCTGAAGGTGGGGGACTCCGTAGAAGTGGACAAAGGCTGCTGCCACCACCATGATACTAATTACCCGATGTGACTGGTTCCATGTGTCAACTTAATAGGACCGAGCGCTCTGTAACTGGAGCAGCCTGGAGGCCAGCTCTGGGGCTGCACAGCCCAGCCATGAGGAAAAGCCGGCCCAGCTGCCCGCGTGTGGCCTTGACACAGCCCCTGGTGAGAGTCAAGGGCGTGGTGGACACAACACTGCTCTAGCCAGGGCCCAGGGACATCCCTGACCTTGTCCGCAGGTGTTTAGCGGGGACCCACTGTGCCACAATGGTGGTGGGATGCCCAGGACACAGATGATGGAGTGGTACATAAGCCAGGGCTGTGGGGCAGGGGTAATGGAACCAGGGCGCCAAGCACCCTAATGTAGAGCAAGCCCCGCCTAATGCAGTTTGCAAACCGCCCGAGAGGCTTTCTGGGAAGAACTCTAGGTGGCGGGAAAGGGCCAGGAGGAGCTGAGGCAGACTCTGCACCCAGGAACACCCCCAGCCCACCTGCCCCCAGCAGGGGCCGGAAGTACCTTTGGTCTGAGCAAGGTCAAGGTTCACAGAAAGAGAAACAGCAAAAAGAACCAATAAGCAGAACCGTGCAGTGAGGGCTCTCCTTTCTGTGCGGGTGCAGACGCTGCTGGAAGCAGCCTGTGCGAGGGCCTGGCCCGTGCCCTGCAGCAGGAAGCTGTCCTGCAGCCGGTCATGGGAGCACAGCCGGAGGGAGGGCCCCGCACCCGCCCCTGCCCCTGGCGCACTGCGCATGCATCTCTTCAGCTGTGGTTGGCTCAGCGATTCCCCAGGAGCAGTTCTCCCGCAGGTGCTCCAGCTCAGCCCGGTCACCCTGTCCAATTCCCTGTTACTGGCAAGAGCCCGGTTGTACTCGGCCACCACTGGTCCCTTCTGAGCAGAGATCTAGCTGGTACCTCAATGCCCTGCACCTCCAGCAGGGGAACAGCCTGGGTGTGTCACCCCAGGGAGCAGAGACCTCCCTGTGAGGTTAGGCAAGCCGGCAACGGCCTGAGCTGGGGCCCACCGCCCTCGCACTACACCCCCCAGCGGGCCAGGCGGCCTGCAGCTGAGCCTCCTGGTCTTCACGCTCCACCAGGCACCGTTCTGATGGCAACTGGCAGTGAGTCTCAAGGCTCAGAGCACAGGACTGGCCTGCAGGGAGCAGACACTCATCCCAAGATCCCACTGCTGCTGAGTTCCATCCGGAGCCTGTCAGAGAGCAGCCGCTGCCGTAGCCGGGCCTCATCTGAGTGTGCGCCAGCTTCACGCAGAGCACAAGGCATGTCTGCAGGTGTCACAGAGCGTTCCCCTAACCAGGAATGGCCTTCAGCGTGGAAAAGACGGTCTTTAGTGAAAGAGACCTCTCCAGAGACCTCAGCCAGACATGCAAAGACTATCGAGTTATTCCAGGATCCAAGATCACATCTGCAGACTTTGTAACAGCCAGAGTCAATGGCTTAAGGTGTGTATTTAAACTCCAATCTCTTCTCTTAGACGCAGCGTCATAGACAATATGTGAGCAAATAGGTGTGGCTGTATTCCCATAAAGCAGTATTTGTAGACACCAGAGTGTGCGTTTCACGTCATTGACATGTTTTGGGCTGCAGGGCATTGTTTGGGCTCCAAGACAGAGGCCCCGGCTGCCTGGGTCCTGGGCCGCCGTTGAACTCTCTGAGAGAGAGGACCAGGGCCCGCTGGGGGCCTCACTAGGAGTCTCTGAATGAGGAGCTGGGCTCCTCAATGCTGCCCTCTGCTCTTTGGGGCTGGGGAAGGCTCTACGGGGCTAGGTTTTGCCCTCTGAGGCCCCAAGGATTAGCTCAGTGGCTTTGGGGCTAGGCGGGGCTCTCAGGCAATGTCATGCTGCACATCGACACGTCCCAGGCTTTGTTTGTGTGTTCGCATTGGCAACTTACAATTAGTTACACTGAGCACCAGGCTGGCCTGCAGGGAGCACACTCATTGCAGCCCACCCACTGCAGCCGAGTTCCATCATGAGCCTGTGCGGAGAGCAGCAAAGGCCGTGGACTGGTTTCATTGGAGTGTATCCCAACTTCACACAGAAGCATAAAAGCATTTACAGATGGTCCAGTGTTCCTGTTATCTGGGAAGTCTCAATATTGCCTAACTAACTTGGAAAAGATTGTCCTTAGGGAAATTGACCTCCAAAACTCTTAACCTGCTCGGCAAAGACTAGAAATGAGTCGAAGCCCTAGTTGGTTTGGCTCAATTCATAGAGCATTGGCCTGCGGATGGAGG